CGCTGAGGCCCGGGCTGCAGCCCGGGAGGTGGCGGCTGCGTTGGCTGCGCGGCCGAAATGGCTGAAACGATGCGCGCGGGCGCCTTTCCTGGCTGGCAGTCCGCAGCGCAGGGCGAAGTAAAAAGCAGCCGGCTGATGCGTAAAGGAAAAAGAGAAAAGTGCTATGGGGCAACGGCTGAAGCTCGGCCCTGAAAGCCCTTTTGCAGCCTCTTTATGCCATTTCTCCGGCAAGGGCTGCGTGTTAGTACGTGTGGATATCGGACGTTTGTTCTCCGCTCTCCCTTCTGCTGCTAGCTCAGTCCTTCTCCATCATTTCCCGCTCAGTCGGATGAGCGGGGGCCGCAGATTTCCACCGTACCCCTCCTGGGTTGTCCTTTTTCTTGAGCGTTCGTAGGCCACGTCTGCTGGTGGCTCTCAGGGTCGCGTTGCTCAAACCTTGCTGCCTTTGAAGCTACATCGGGTTGGTGGCCATTGACCTCAACGAGAAGATACCGTGTCCTTACCTACCGAGGGGAACTACAGCGCAGGCATGGCAAGGGCGTAGGAGCGGGAACGCAGGAGATTTGGGGTGTAAGAGAGCTGCTGAGGTAGCCAGCTTATCGCAAACACGCCCCGCGGAGACTTGCTTAGGCGCAGAGCAGGGGTGGTTGTTCGCAGGGGGGAAATGTAAACTTGGGCTTGCAATCCAGAGGAGAGCCCAGAAAAGAAAATGGATCTGAAAATATCCAGCCCTGTATAAGGGGAAAAAGAAAATGTGTGTGATTTTAGGAATGGTTAAAAGAGCAAAAACCCAGTACTCACCAGTCCCATTAATGCTTTCCACTGTATCCAAGGGGTGATGGGAAGGAGAAACAAACGTGTTAAATCCTGACGTTCTCCCTGACCCCTTCAAAAAAAGACTGCTCTGCGCTGAGAAAGATGCAGTGTGGGATTACTGAAAATGTTGACAACATCTTTTCAGAGTGTGTTGCTCCTTCAGAACTTGCCGAGCTCTTGGCCATTTGTCAATTGTTTGAAGCTATTTGAAGCAAAACGTTTTGTTTCTTTTTTCTAAGCAGGTTGGTTCCCCCAATTGCTTCTTTCAGATCCATTTCAGGTGATAGTTATGAACATAATTAATCTTTTTAGTGCTGAAAATACCAGTTTTAAGTAAATGCAGCAACGATCTTTGTAGTAGCTTAAACACTACAGGACCTTACATGTAACGGTTTTGGAGGGCTCACTGTTTTAATCCTGCGTGCTTGCTGCAAAGGCATTTCTACAGAGCAGCCGCAAGGAAACAGAGATTCAAGGTGCTCTGTGTTTGAGAGGGAACTACAGGAATCTAAAAACAAGTGTAAGGGACCAGCAGTCACTCGCACAGGCTGGAAAGCGGCAGCAGAACTTAAAAGTGTATTAATCCTTCGGAGAGGTGGTGACGTAGGACAGCAGGATGCTTCACGGCCGCACAAAGATAGGTTTCCGAGCCAGGAGGGTGTGATGTGATGGCCCAGCCTGAGAGCAGCCCGACCATGAGGGGTCATTTCACTTGAACAAAAGCTTTCTTCTCCTTTTCTTTCTCCTGTTGCCTGCCAAACTCCATTTAAATTTACTTCTGCCCTTCCAGGAGTGATTCTGGGTTATCTGAAACGTACACTGAAATTAATCTCCTCTTAGGAAAACAATCAGCACAGTAATCCTTGACTCACCAGGCTGGCTCAGCCAAGGGGAGGAATTACACCTCTGTTCTTCCTGGTGGTGCAAGGCCGGAAGATGTGCCTGTCTCCACCTGTGCATGCCATTGGGGTGAGTGCTCCCCGGGCCAGGGTGCCGAGGGGTGCATCCTGGCTCGGAGCAGCCTTCCTCCCGGGCATGTGCCACCTCCCCGCTGCGCTCTGGCCCTTTTCTTGGCTCCCTGTGGAAAGCCGTTTAGCAACGGGTCCGACGTTGCTTCTGGAGACAGGCCTCCGAACTGCAAGCGGAGATGCTGCAGTGATGGGAACCGGCTTTGTTCCACCACAGATCGTCCTGCAGAGGAACCGCGGCCGGACAGGACCTCCAGAGGTCTCTAGCCCAGCCCTTACCCAGCATGGGGCTGCCTGCCCCAGGTTGCTCACTGCTATCTCTGGCCAAGCTTTGAACGTCTCCAAGGGTGAAGGTCTCACCAGCTCTGTTCCAGTGTTTGACCACATTCATTTTTCCTTGTATTTCATCCAAATTTCTGTTGTTCTGACCTGTGCTGGCTGCCCCTTGTCGTATCCCGGCACACCGCTGGGAAGAGTCCGGCTCCATCTTCTCTACACCCTCTGATGGGTAGTTGAAGTCAGTAATGAGGTCTTCTTTTGTTCAGGCGCTTTTTCTGAACAGTGTGTCTTGGTAGGCTGTTTCTGATCCTGGAAAGGACGTACTGAATGTAGTTAAAACACAGAGGGTGAAACACAGGATAAGGAGCAGCCAGACAGGGAGGCAAATGCCGCTTGCTCCCGTATTACAAGTGTCCCACAGCGGGCTGTAACGTGGCAGCAGACGTCTTCCTCCGAAAAAGGGCAGCACGAGAGCACGTTTGTCGCTCTCCGCAGGAGGAGGAGGCTGCCTCCGGGGAGGCGGCATGTCTCTGAGAAAGGCTTCGCACCCCAGGGCCCTTGACAAGCGGGAATTTGGGAGGAAGGTTTACAGTTGCCCTGGTAAAGTTGGAGGCCTTTGCCACGAGCGGGGTAAAACACGGCTGCGCGCCCCTGCCTGAGCCCTCCCTGGGGGGGATTAGCCCTGGCGAGCTTGCGCAATCCACCGGGGAGGATTTTGCTCTAGGGCTTTTTAACTTTGTTCTTGCTACGTCACCGGCTTGGGAAAATCCTGTGGGCTCCCCTCGCTTACAGATAGTAATTTCTCCTTCTGAGTGAGAACAAAAAAAAGCGTGGTGGCCCCGGTTGTTGGGCGAACTGGCAGAGGGCCACGTGTCGCCGTCCCCACGGGGCAGGTGACACGTCTCAGGTGTGTTTGCTTGCAGGCTCGTACCTACATTTGTATCTGCTCCAAGGCTAATCCCCAATGGGCTTTCGCTGGCGGAGAGAGGTGGCAGACCAAGAAGGCATGACCATTGCAAGCTTTGGCACAGCCTTGCTTTTTCTCACTTTCACGTGCTCACTGCATATTTGCAAGAGTTTGTCTGTCCGTGGTCTCCTCAAATGGGGTTTTCACATCAGGTACCCAATGCCCAGGGACTAGGGCAGTGGCTGCAGCAGCTAAACCTGGGGTGGGGGGGAAGACCTTTTAAGGGAGAGTGCCCTTTTTACAGACTAAAATGCAGCTGGATGCAGATGTAGGGCTCTCTCCACGCAGAGCTCATTGTCAGCGCGAGGGCTGTGTCATATCATCTAAGGGGGACGATTTCTCTTGGGAACATCGTTGTCTTTGAAGACCTTGAATTCAGAGGTGGCTTTGTCGCTGTCAAATGTCCATGGACAACAATTCACAACCCCCCTCCAGCTCCTTTTTTTTCCCAGAGGAACCTGATGTGCCTTTGCTGCAGCCGTAGGGCAGGCCAGGTCACGGGAGGCCAATGACAAGCTGCGTTTTGGGACTGCAGCGATTTCGGGCTGAATTCATGCTGTGTGATGGACAGACCCTGGACCACATACAGTGCCTGCACATGCAGCTTCTGCGTTCTCCATCAGGGCTTTTTCATAAACCTAGAAATAAGTGAATTTCATTTCACTGGATGACAGCTGCAGCAAGTCCTGAGTCCGAGAGCTTTCTGGACTTTGGCTTCTGACATTACAGCTGCTATACGTTGCCCTGGCGCTTTTCCGCTTGTAGTCTGAGACTGGAGTCATTGCGGGACATGTCAGAGCCACAGGTCCAGAGGTCCTTTCTTGCCTCTGTTGCCTTCTGTGATTTAATAATATATGCACAACTCATATTCATCATCATTTAATAACATTCGTACTTCAGTTTCAAGCCCATGCCGTTTGGTTTTGCTCCAGGTGCCCGTGAAAGAGGGTGGGTGAGAGAACGGCCATGGAAAATACGTGGGTACAGCTGCATGTGCTGCTTCGAGGAGGCTGCTTTGGCTTGGTGTTTGCATGCAATGCGGTCATGTGGACGGTCTTCGCAAAAGCCCTGCGGCTCTCCTCCTCCTCAGCTGCTGCCTCGGTGACAACAACGGCCTCCAATTTCATCTCCTCGGTGAGTAAATTCGTCCCAGAGGTGCTGGAGCCTGCAGAAGTGCAGTGACATGCGAACGGTCCCGCTGGGCGAGACTGGTCCAAGCTCATCTCCCAGCGAGAGCAGGGACATCTGTGGCTGCAAGGGGAGATTTAAGTACCTCTGCGTAGGCAGACGTGAGATAGTTGTGTCAGGTATCACCAGGTCTGACCTCTTTGCGGCAGAGGCTGTAGGTTTGCAGGGCAATGCAGGAAGAGCATTGCTGCCAAGCAGTCTTGTGGTGGCTGCAGTGTTTACTGAGCTTTTCTAATTGCCTGAAATAAAATGGCACGGTGAGAACTGGAGCTAGAAACTTTTCCTTGTGTTGCTTTTACTTTAGCAAAACCTCACTTGTGGCAAGCCAAAGCTACCTTAGCTGGGTGTGAATATTCACTGCGAGAGCATTTTGGACCTGCACATTTTTTATCCTTCCTTTTCACACTGTTATTCTTGTTTCTCCGCTCTGGTAATTCTCAGTCAGTGTGCAGAGTTGTTCAAAACACTTTGAAATCGGTGGGACCTCTTTTTTATTGACTTGAGTAGAGTCTCGGTTCCCCAGAGTTGCTGAGAAGGCAACAAAACAAGCGCACACCTGCCAAAATCCTGTTTTGGGGCCCCAGTGCAGCTGCGCTTCCCAGTCTGGATGCTGGAGGAGGTCTTGCTCAGCGACACTTCGAAGCAGCAGCAGCAGCGTTTCTGTTGGTAGTCCTAGCAGGAGTTTTCTTATGCAGGTTTTTCTTAGCTTGGCTCTCCCAGCAGTATAAATCCTGACATCTCTGAGAAGGAGTTGAGCCATTTGCTGCGGCCAGCCTGCCCCACTGCCTTGCAGTGCCGCGGGCTTTGCGGCAGGCTGGCCCAGCAAAGCTGTGTCCCTTTCTTGTCCTTCAGGCCATCCTGGGCAAGCTGCTCTTTGGGGAGACGTGGACGCTTCTGTGGTGGCTCGGCCTCGCTGTGACGCTGGGCGGCCTCGTGCTGCTGCACACCACTGCACCCCGGGCAGCGTGGCTGCTGCCGGAGAAGAAGGAGAAGTGAGGAGGACAGGAGGGTGCCTGGAGCGACACCAACCCTCATGAGAAGTTAGCTGCTGGACCTGCCTCGCGTCTCCGGAGGGTGCTGACAGGCGATGCTGTCCCGCATGGACATGGAGTGCTTAGCACCGCTGGGCTGATGGCATTGGGTTAAGAGGAAGAGCCAGTCGCACACATTCAGACCCATTACCCTGTTTGCGTGCTTATCTGTTGATTAGCAAAGGCACACACGCTAAATCTTTCCTGGTAGGCGAGCACCAGCGTTTCCAGATGCGTGGTAGTGGTGAGCTCCTACGGTGTGTCATTAATGACTGCTCCGGCCTCTTCTGAGTCAACGTACTGGAAATGGAGACCAGAGGCTTATCAGCTGCTCCTCCTCTTCACACTCTTTTGCTGTGGAGCTTTCTCAATTTGGGGGTAGAAAATTGAAAGTAAACATGGTGGCTATGGAAGGTGGCTGGGCTTTTCCATAGGAGGAACTGGCCTGAAGTAGAAAAGCAAACAGAAATAGCTGTTGAAGACTTCTGACATACCTATGGTTTCCCTCTCTGCCTCTGGAAATGTCCCTGTGCTCGTCATAAGTTTTCATGGTTTGGGAAGCTGTGGAGCACTTAATTCCTTCAGCCTCCCCAATCAGTCGCATACACCTTTTCACTTGCCATCTCCATCTGCTGCCTACACTTCCCGCTTTGCCATTCCTGACATAGTGCTCATTTTGATGTAAGGTTAATAAGGTTAAGGCTTTTTCCTTAAACTTAGCCCAGATGGATTTTTGATCACCATCACTGGTTTCATGTAGGTCAAACTGTGGTTTTGAGGAGAAAAGAAGAGAGTACATGTGAACAGTTAGCAGTTTTCATTAAGGGCGTGCATGTTCAGTGCGAGTTATGTGATAAGAAGGTCTCCACAAGCAGAAAGGGCACAGCAAGACCGTGGCAGGTGGGGGAACCCAAATAATCCCCTGCCTGGCTGCTGCCAGGCCCATCACAGGAGTGCACTCAACCCTGCAAGCAGAGAAGAGCAGCCAGGGCACCCAAATCACCTGTTTGGAGGAGCAACACCGCATCCGGGCACCCCAGAGCTGTCCCAGGGGAGCATCAGCCCTGTGGTGACACCCAGCGTGATGAGGCAACGGGGACAGCTGTCCTGAGCACCGTTTGGACTTGGGGGGGGGGGGTCCCCGCCTTGCAGTGTAAGACGCATTGTGGGATGCAGGGGAAGAGCATTCGGGGACTGCATGAGGCTTATTATGGGGTGCTTAGGGGAGGAACCAAAGGCAGAGAAAGGGAAGGGTCTAGGTGATTTGGGGAGGAACAAGCAAGAGAAACTAGGGGGATAAGGGGGCAAAAAGGGGACTGGTCGTGTGGAAATGTGGCTGATAGGTGCACGTGTCTGGCCACATGCTGCACTTGGCCAGAGCAGTCTGTCCTGTCTTCTTATTAAATCCCTTTCTAACTATTTTCCTGGGTGAGGATCTCTCTGTTCTGCGTGCGTGAGCGTGAGGGGGTCTGCACCAGCAGCTGGCGTGGGGCCACTGGAGCACCTACATCC